GAGGCCCCCAGACTCCTTGAAGGGACCCCAGCGCCACCCACGGGCCCATCACTCTCCAGCACAGGCGGCCCTCAGTCACAAGAGCCTCTGCCACTCCCCGACTGAGCTGTTCCCCACAGGCCGAGCCCCAGATTCCCTGAGAAACCCACCCTCGTGCCCTGTCAGGAGCTCCTGTTCCCAAACAGCCCGAGCTGGAGCCCCGGGCCCGAGGGACAGCCGTCTGGCCTTGACGCTGAGCCCCCAGACACTCCCGTGACCCTGCAGAGCACAGGAGACCCAGGCCACGTGCTGCCCAGGGGTGCAGCCACTGACGGAGGTTCCCCACTTGGAAGGAAGGACAACGAGAGGGCGCTCGGGCTTCAACTTGTGCCCACTGTGTGACTTCACGCAGGCCACAGGGCCCCTTCTCCAAGCAGTGCCGTCTATGGCTGTGGCCACGGAGGCCAGGGTAGGATGGCTCTGCCCCCACCTCAGCTCCCAGATGGAGCCTGGAATCTGGTCCCATCCCTGCCATCCTCTGGGCTGGCACTTTGTGCAGGACAGCGTGGCCCTTTAGCGACTGACCTCACATCCTGATGCCACTGTCACCTCGCAGCAAATCACCCCAGGGAACGGGCTGCAGACATGGAGGATCCTTTTTTATAAAAATCTTTAATAAAACGGTTCTCTGCAGAATGGGTTATAAAAACAGAAGTGGCAAACCCCAATTCCTGCCACCTAGGCACAAGGGAGACATACAGGCTTGGAGTTCACAGACACCTGAGAGCAGGGTCCAGCACAGAGGGACAGCACTGGCTATTGGCCTGTGGATGCAGGCCCAGGGCTGACACAGTCATTTTTTTTTTAAGAGAAGACATGCCTTTTTGGGAAAATAACATTTCTTTTTTTTGTTTTCCTTTTGACTTGGAGTCTCAGTCTGTTGCCCAGGCTAGAGTGCAGTGGCACATTCACAGCTACCACAGCCTCGACCTGCTGGGCTCAGGTGAACCCTTCTGCCTCAGTCTTCCAAGTAGTTGGAACTACAGGCAGGTGCCACCACGCCCAGATAATTTTTTGATTTGTTGTAGAGATGAGGTCTCGCCAAGTTGCCCAGGCTGGTCTTGAACCCGCGGGCTCAGGCAATCCTCTCACCTCGGCCTCCCAAGGTGCTGGGATTATAGGTGTGAGCCAATACACCCAGCCAAATTGCATTTCTTAATGTTAGCCACTAATTGATTATTGTTCCCCTAAAGTCACAATAGAATGTGAACAGGCAGCCAGTGTGCAACCTGTTTTACACACTCGAAAATAAAATAAATGGGTTCCTATAGTAGCAAAATATTTGTACAAAGTTGATGGCTGCAAAGACAGATTCCCACTCTCAGCAAATGAGGTAAGAAAAGGCAAGAGAGGAACAAAGGATGAGAAAAGCAAGAAACCTTACAGCACCAGCCCACCTATCTGCAGCCCAGGGTGCTGGCGGGGGCGGTGGTCCTGTGGGGCCACTGGGAGTAGATGGGAGGACTCCCACCAGACCTCCATAGTCCAAGGAGAGCCCAGCTTGGCCCTAGTATCCCAAGAGCCTTCTGGCTTCTTCACTCTGGGCCTGCAGGGTCTCACTTGCATACTTCTGGAGGAGTTCCATTTTCTTCCTTCGCACGAGCGCCTCCTCAATCTGTGGATGTCAAGAGTAAAGGGCTCATGCCTCACTCCTCAGCAAAGCCCTCAAACCCCGTCAGACCCAGCCAGAAGGGAGTCCCCAGGGGGAAGTCAATCAGGAAATCTGATCCAAATACCCAGAGCTGTCTGCAAGAGTCCCAACTTCCTCCCGTTGGAAACATTTGAACAACAGAATGTACTTGTTCGTTTCATCTAAAGCAGAGGGCCTGGCCCTTCCGGATCCCACGCCCTGTTGCGAGCATAATGACAAGTGCCCTGTGGTCAGGACCTGAGCCCTGATGGATAGGAAAGGCAGCACAAGCCCACTAAAGCATTCTTTGCAGGCTGCTCTAGAGGCAATGCCTGTCCTACCTCCTGCTGCGAGGGCACTGGGACGTGCGCGATGAACTTCTGCTGGCCATCATCCCCTCCTTTCTCCTGGCTGCCTTCCTCATCAGACTGCAAAGCGAACCACCAAAAGTCTGTCAGCAGGAGCCCAGCTACATAAACGCGGGTACCTCTCTAAAATGGATTACTCTCGGGCTGCTTAAAAGGAATCAGCAAGTTCTGTACGTACACAGGAAGACACCCCAGACACATTATTAAGTTAAAAAAACAACAGAACACTGTGCATATTATGCTACCTTTGACATAAGGAGGGAAATTAAGAACAGAAACTATTAACAGCAGTGACAGGACAGGAGACAGGAACAGGAAAGGGAATCTTTGTGAAATATCTTTACATACATTTTCATTCTTTAAACTTGTGAACATATTATTTATTTTTTAAAATTTAAATTTAGCCAGGCGTTGTGGCTTATGCCTGTAATCCCAGCACTTTGGGAGGCTGAGGTAAGGATTGCCTGAGCCCATGGTTTGGAGACCAGCCTGGGCAACATGGTGAGAACTCATCTCAACAACAAATCAAAAAAATTAGCTGGGCAGGGTGGCACATGCCTACAGTTCCAGCTTCTTGGAAGGCTGAGGCAGGAGGATTCCCTGAGCCCAGCAGATAGAGGCTGCAGTGGCTGTGAGTGTGCCACTGCACTGCAGCCTGGGTGACACAGTGAGACTTCAACTAAAAAATTTTTTTTTTAATTTAAGTAATTTACCATATATAGAAAAAAAATCAACTCAAAGGCTGCATGTGAGTCAACAGAAATGACTAATGACTAAGGAAGTAATGTGGGCCTGGAAATATGAGGAGGGGGACACCTGTGGCATGTTGGAAGTCCACTGGTTGACATCTTCTGTGCCAGATGCCCTGCATGAGCCTTTCCCCACACTGGCACCCGTGGCAATAGGCTGGAAAACTCTTTAGGGGACCCTCTCACATGCAGCTGGAAGAAGTGTAAATCAGTACAATCACCCTGGGAAGCTCCCACTCTCAGCAAATGAGGTAAGAAAAGGCAAGAGAGGAACAAAGGATGAGAAAAGCAAGAAACCTTACAGCACCAGCCCGCCTGTCTGCAGCCCAGGGTGCTGGCGGGGGCGGTGGTCCTGTGGGGCCACTGGGAGTAGATGGGAGGACTCCCACCAGACCTCCATAGTCCAAGGAGAGCCCAGCTTGGCCCTAGTATCCCAAGAGCCATCTACTAACACTAACATTCCTGGTCTAGGATCTGGTCATTCCACTCAGTATGTACTCAACAGAAACAGTGCATGGGAACAAGAAAGTTCACAGCAACTCTGTTATAGCTCCAAACTGGACACTACAAATACCCACAAACAATAGACACACAAAAGTATACATGATTCCACGTACACATAAAGTTCAGACACGGGTGAAACTTAAGGGTAGTTAGAGGTCAGGAGGGTGACCTCTGGGGCAATACTGGCAAGCTTCTAGGTTTCAGTCAGGTTCTGCTTCTTCAGTGTTATGTGCTGTTTGGGTATGTTCACTCTGAAAATTTAGTAAGCTGGGAACAGTGGCTCATGCCTGTAATCCCAGCACTTTGTGAGGCAGAAGTGAGTGGATTGCCTGAGCCCAGGGGTTCGAGACCAGTCTGAACAACTTGGTGAGACCTCGTCTCTACAATAAAACAAACAAATTAGCTGGGTGTGGTGACCTGTGCCTATAGTTCCAGCTACTTGGAAGGCTGAGGTGGAAAGGATCCCCTGAGTCCAGCAGGTCAAGGCTGTGGTGGCCATGAGCGTGCCACTGCACTCCAGCCTAGGGGACAGAATGAAACTCCAACTCAAAAAAAAGAAAATTTAGTGACCTGCACACTTACGATGTGGACTTTTCTGTATATGGAATAGCACTCAGCAGTGAAAAGGAATAACTCAACAATCAGATGGAGAGCAGGGCACCGTGCTGACTGCAAAGGCCATGCTGAGAGGTGACATGTCATAGGAGCCCATTTATAAAGCATTCCAGAAAGACAAAATCATAGGGATGGAGAACAGGTTGGAGTTTGTGGGGGGTGAGAGATGGCGGGGAGGAGGAGGTGTGACCTTAATGGGGCAGCACCAAGAATCTTTGCTATAGGGGACAGTTTTGTGCTTTTGATTGCCATGATGTAAGTTATACAGATCTCCACAGGTGATAAATGACACAGAACTCTACACACACACGCCAATGTCAGTGTCCTTGATTTGCTCCCATGCTAAAACTACCTAAGATATAACCACTGAGGAAAACTGGGGGAAAGGGTATGCGGATCTCTCTGTACTGTCTTTGCAACTCCTTGTAAATCTACAACTATTTCAAAAGAAAAAGAAAAAAAATCCCTCCGATGGCTTTCGCTGTTTCCCCATGCCACTGGCTCTCCTCTTCAGCCTCCGCTCAAGCCTGGCACCCATGCTCTTCCCGCTCCAGCCCAGAGGGCCTGTCCTGTCCCACATGCGCCCCATGGGATCGCTCTCAGCACATGCTGTTCCCCTGCCAGGAGCCTCTCCCGCCCCGCCTCCTCCCTTGACTAACTCCACTTGATCACCCTCATCCCAGCTGAAGGGGCAGCTCCCCAACAAAGCCTCTGCAGGCTGTCCCTGCGCCAGGATCTGCCACTCATGGTCTCTGGTCTGCACACTGCTTTCCCCGGACTATATAACACATCCGTCAAGACTATGAGCTACACCTCAAGCCTGTACACTGCTGTGCCCCTGCACCTGGCGTGGGCCTGGTTCCTAGCAGCCATTATTCAAACAGCTGCTGAGAAAGCAAATGAGTATTTGCATTGAGAGAAAACCCTCCCAGGACGTGCTGTCATCCTGCTTCAGACCTTCAGATTCCCACTGCTGGTCAGCTGGACTTGAGCAGGAATCTCAGGTCTGCTATCTCCTATGTGACTCTAAGTCACTAAACCTCTCTGAGCCTGCTTCCTCATCAGTGATGCTACAGCAATGAGGCAATGAGCTAAAACTTGGCTTAACTGTGTTTGTATGAGAGGGAACCCAAAAAAGCCCTGTATGTATTTATACAAAATTATGTATTTATTCTTACATGCTAAAACTTCAGTCACCTTCAAAGTCCTCTCCGTTTGATGCAATATACTTATTGAGACACCTTCCACTGCTCAAAACAGTTTTTGAACTTGTCAATTTTGATATTTTTAGTGCTTCTGGATTTTTTTGTTTCACCTCTTTGAGGACTTTTTTCATCCAAGGAAACAAAAAGAGCCACTCAGGGTGAGACGGGATGAGCAGGGAGGGCGGGGCACAGGGGTCATGCCACTTTGGGTCAAGAACTGCTGAACACGCAGTGCGGAGTGGGCAGGTGCACTGGTAAATCACCCGCTATGAAATGGGCAAGCACGTTGAAAGAATCTCCAAAAAAAATTCAGTGAAGCTGAAGGCAGTCTCTCACAACAATGCTAGCGAGCACACCGACAACAGTGGGTTCCCAGAACACTAACCTAGTGGGGGAAGCCTGTACTAAAGAGGCCTGCCCTCCAAAAATAATTCCAGTTTTTTGAGTCCCACTCTTGTAAATCCAATTCCAGTGTGTTCAGGAGGGCCTCTTTTTTTTTTGCTGTTGTCTGTTTTTTGAGTTGAGGTCTCACTCTGTTGCCCCGGCTTGGGGTGCAGAGGCAAACTCACAGCCAACAAAGCCTCGGCCTGCTGGGTTCAGGCGATCCTTCCGCCTCAGCCTTCCAAATAGCTGGAACTACAGGCACTCGCCACCATGCCCAGCTAATTTTTACTTCAATTTCCTGTAGAGACAAGGTCTTGCCATGTTGCCAAACTGGTCTTGAACCCCTGGGCTCAGGCAAACCTCTCACCCTGCCTCCCAAAGTGCTGGGTGCATGGGCCACCATGCCTGGCTTCTCTCTAAGAAGAAAGGAAGTAATCCCTGGTGTAAAGCACAGCTGACAAAGCACTCCCAAGGCCACCCCATCTGAAGCCTTCCCCATGATTCTGTGCTATCCTGCAGGAGAGCAAGCTGGGCTTTGAACCCTGATGCCTTGTTTCTGAGCTGAGCTTTCTCCTTGCTATGCTTCTTGACTGACAGCAGAAAGTAGTAAGTGCCAGAGGGAACCAATACCAGTACCTCTTCCTCGGTGACGGCATAGATGTTGATCTCTTCCTCCTCTTCCTCCTCTTCTTCCTTTTCTCCTCTGGCTAGCCGAGCTTCTCTCTCTGCTTTCCATTTGTCCACTAACTCGGCTCTGACTGAAGACAAGGGAGGGCAGGTGCTATTTATTCCAGCCTCTAAATAAACTGGGAAAGACGAAGACAGGCTCTCTGGAAAGAGATACCCTTCATTCTGCCCTGGTGGGTGGAAAACGGTTGTAAGGCACAGCAGGTCCTATAACAGCTCTGGCCTTCAGTCACCACAAGGCAGATTTTAGGGACTAACATCCTTCCAGTTCAGCAACCTGAGAGGCTTCCTGACACACCACATAAGAGGGAGGAGGCAGGGTTGTGGCATGCTGAAAAGGAGCTTGACTCCAGACCACCTGCTTCTCAAGTCCTAGCTGGATGTGTCACACGGGCATTACTGCTAACATGCTCCTCACTCCGCTATCCGGAGGTAGCTCATAGCACAGAGGAAGAGCTCACACAGTGACACCATCTTGCTCTACAATGATACCCTTCAGCTGTGGGATTGTTTGTTTTTTGAGTCGGGATCTCTTTTGCCAAGGCGGGAGGGCAGTGGCATGATAAGGCTCACTGCGGCCTCGAACTCCTGGGCTCAGGCGATCCTTCCGCCTCAGCCTCCTGAGTAGCTGGGACTACAGGCATGCACCACTACGCCTAGATTATTTTTTTATTTTCTGTAAAGATAAGGTCTTGCTATACTGCTCTGGCTGGCTCGAACTCCTGGGTTCAAGCAATCCTCCCAGCTCTGTCTCCCAAAATACAGAGATTACCGGCGTGAGTCACCACATCTGGCCTGTGTTTTTTTGTTTTTGCTTTTTTAAGTCGGGGCCTCACTCTGTCACCCAGGCTGGAGTGCAGTGGCATGATCACGGCTCGGCAGCCTCAACTTCCTGGGCTCAAGCAATCCTTCCACCTCAGCCTCCCAAGTACCTGGGACTGCAGGTACACGTCTCCATGCTCGACTTATTTTCTACAGAGATGAAGCCTCACTATATTGCTGGACTGGTCTTAAATTTCTGGGCTCAGGTCTTCTTCCTGCCTTGGCCTCCCAAAGTGCTGGGATTACAGACATGAGCCACCACTCCCAGCTGTGTTTAAAGCAAATCTAAAAACGAATAAAAAGGGCACCATTTCACAATTTTAAGACAGGACAGTCTGGAATGAATCCAGATGATGACTTCCTAGCAGACAGAAATCAGGTCAGTTTTGGATCTCTAGGCTTCCCCAAGCTGCTGCCTCTGGCCTACACAGCCCTGACTGATTCTTAGGGGTGAGGGAATTTCAGACCATCACCTCTGAAGACCTTGAGCAACAAAGATAACTCCCTTCCAGCAGAAAGCATGATTGTAAACCCCGTTTTCAAAGGAGAGAGCAGAAATCAGACACCATCTATAATGAAATGAAATGCCAGGAGACCTACGTTTCCTTTCATATTCCTGTTCCAAAGGCACGATAACACCATCATCTTCATCCAGGTAACCATAGTACTCAAAATCGATTGCCTTCATGAGCTCAGCACGGGTCTTTCTGGGAGGAGGAAGAGCTACAAGAAACAGCAGCAACTTAGCGAATGTCCAAGTTATATCACACTTGAGCCAAGTCTTCTCCAGATACAATGCCACACAGCCAAACAGCATGTATGTTCATGAAAATACCACAAAATAGGCACTTTTCTTTTTTTGAGTTGGAGTCCCACTCTGTCGCCCAGACTGGAGTGCAGGGGCCACTCCCGGCCACCGCAGCCTCCGCCTGCTGGGCTCCGGCGATCCTTCCACCTCAGCCTTCCAAGCAGTTGGAACTACAGGCGCGCGCTACCACGCCCGGCTAATAATTTTTTGATTTATCGTAGAGATGAGGTCTCGCCAAGTTGCCCAGGGGGGTCTTGAACCCGTGGGCTCAGGCAATCCACTCACCTCAGCCTCCCAAAGGCACGGGATTACAGGCTGAGCCACCGAGCCCGGCTACGAAACAGGCATTTTTCTATACCATTCATGGGATTATAGAAGTGGTGCAGCCCTTTTTAAAATCAGTGCTTTGACCCAGTTAGTACATTAATTTTGTTTTTCTTTTTCTTTTTTTTTTGAGACAGGGTCTTACTCTGTCATGAGGGATGAGGACTAGGGTACAGTGCCATGATCATAGTTCACTTGTCTCAAACCCCTGTGCTCAAGCAATCCTCCTTCCAAGTAGTAGAAGGATTATAGGGGCACACCACCAAGCCTAGCAAATTTTTTAATTTTTTTGTAAAGACAGGGTCTCATTATGTTGCCTAGGTGGGCCTTGAACTGCTGGTCTCAAGCAACCCTCCTGTCCCAGCCACCAAAAGTGCTAGGATTATAGGTGTGAGTCACTGTGCCTAACCACAAAATTAGTCCATTTAAAAGCTTGGTGGCTTAGCCTGTAATCCCACCACTTTGGGAGGCCAAGGTGAGTGGATTGCCTGAGCCCATAGGTTCGAGATCTGCCTGGGCAACTTGGTGAGAACTCATCTCTACAATAAATCAAAAATTTGCCAGGCACGGTAGCGCGTGCCTGTAGTTCCAGCTACTTGGAAGGCTGAGGCAGAAGGATCGCCAGAGCCCAGCAGGTCGAGGCTGCAGTGGCCGCTCGCGGCCACTGCACTCCAGTCTGGGTGACAGAGTGAGACTGCAACTCAAAAAAACAAAAAAAAAAAAACAAAAAAAGCAATCTATCTTAATTAGCCAGGCATGGTGACGCATACCTGTAGTCCCAGCCATGGGGAAAGCTGAGGTGGAAGGATTGCCTGAGCCCAGCAGGTCGAGGCTGCAGTGAGCTGTGATTGTGCCACTGCATTCCAGCCTGGGCAATAGAATGACACTCCAATTTAAAAAAATAAATAAGATGATAATAATAATAGTGCTGGGCACGGTGGCTCATGCCTGTAATCTTAGCACTTTGAGAGGCGGCGGTGATAAGACTGCCTGAGCCCACAAGTTCAAGACCAGCCTGGGCAACATGGCAAGATCTCATCTCTACAATAAATCTCCCCACCAATAATTAGCTGGGCATGGTGGCGCACACCTATAGTTCCAGCTACTTGAAAGGTTGAAGCAGAAGGATCCCCTGAGCCCAGCATGCCACTGCACACCTGTCTGGGCAATATAGTGAGATTCTGACTCCAAAGTAAATAATAAAATAATAATAATGCTTTAAAAATAAAAATTTAAAAATACATAAAAGCAATCTATCCTAATTAAAAAGCAAAAACAAAGACAAGCTGACGAAGCCTTATAGACAGAAATGTGTATCACAGCATTATTTATATAACAGTGAAAACTTAGGAATAATGTGGGATTGAAAATTGCATAATGTGTGTGGAATGGGAAATCCTGCAATCCCTATAATGCCATTTCACAAGGTGTTTTTGTTTGTTTGTTTGTTTGTTTAGTCAAAGTCTCACTCTGTTGCTCAGGCTGGAGTCCAGTGGCACACTCATGGCCACTACAGCCTCCACCTGTTAGGTTCAGGCAATCTTTCCACCTCAGCCTTCCAAGTAGCTGGAATTACAGGTGTACACCACTGTGCACACCTACTTTTTTCATTGATTGTAGAGATGAGGTCTCACTATGTTGCCCAGGCTGGTCTCGAACCCCTGAGCTCAGGCAATCCTCTCGCCCCTACCTCCCAAAGTGCTGGAATTACAGGCATGAGCCACTGTGCCTGGTCAGGTGTTTTAATAACACAAGAAATGTCATGATGTTTAATGAAAAAGCATGATGGGAAACATAAGTATACAGATAAAACAAAAGAAACTACAATCAAACAAAAAAGACAAATGAAAGTCCTGAAGAAAATATTTTCAGACTAAGGATTACTATTCAGAAAGTTTAAGTAATTTTTGTTTTTGTTTTTGAATTGGAGTCTCACTCCTTGCCCAGGCTGGAGTGCAGTGGCATGCACACTCACAGCCACTCCAGCATCGACCTTCTGAGCTCCAGCGATCCTTCCACCTCAGCCTTCCGAGTAGCCGGAACTACAGACGCATGCTACCATGCCTGGCCATTTTTTTAATTTTATCGTAGAGACAAATTCTCACCAAGTTGCCCGGGCTGGTCTTGAACCCATGGGCTCAGACAATTCACTCGCCTTGGACTCCCAAAGTGCTGGGAATATAGACTGAGCCACTGAGCCCAGCCAAGTTGACAATTTTTAAAGAATAAAAGCTGAAAATTTTTAAAAAGAAAAAATTCAAATGTATAAAAATTTCAATTAATTACTGTATTCAATTATCAATTTTATTAGTAATCAGGGGAAAAAAATAATATGTTTTTCACCCATCAGATGAACAAAAATTATATAAAAATCTGGAAATAATTACAAGTTTACCAATGGAGGAATGGTTATGTCAGATGTAATTCATCCATACTATGATCCCTTTTAATCCTTCGCATCCACCAGTGGAGTCCAAGTACATTTATGGGAGAGTATCCGTGGATATCACAACACAACAGGTATGGTAGAGCCAGCGGGATTTGGCAGGCCTCCAACCATCACCCTGCTGTTGGTAACAGCGGCTCTGTCCACCCTGCTGCCACTCTTGGTCCATAACCTGTAAATAGCAGTCATCATATTGGCTGGACCAAGGACAGGGTACAGATTGAAGCCTGGCTGGTTCAAAGCAATGCATTCCTTCTGGCCACAGGTACTGGTTTACGAATGGAATTACAATCCATTTAAAGCCAGCTACACTCAATTCTGAGAATTTGGCTTGAACTGCTTGGGGGGAAAAAACTTTTGCTGGGAGAGGGCAACATGTAAGTTGATGACAGACGACAGCCACAAGAGGAAAGCAAGGTAGAGAAAGAAGCTCACACAGTGGAAATCAAAACAGAAACAGAGAAATGTGCACTAGGTTCACCCATGCCTGAAGGCAGATTACTCTGAGATTTTCTTGGGATTGAGACATCTGTCACTATTACTGGTAAATTTAGCTGGCAAAATAAGCCTATATTCTCAGCACTTTGAGAGGCTAAAGGCAGAAGATCACTTGAGGCCAGACTGAGCAATACAGCATGACCCTGTCTCTACAAAAAAATTTAAAATTAGCCCAGCAGGGTGCAATGTACCTGCAGTCCCAGCTACTTTGAAGGTTTGAGGCAGGAGGATTCCTTGAATCCAGGAATTTGAGACAGCAGTGAGTTATAATCATGCCACTGCACTGCAGCCTGGGTGGGCAACAAACTGTCTTTTTTTTTTTTGAGTCAGAATCTCACTCTGTCGCCCAGGCTGGAGGGCAGTGGTAGGCTCACGGCAACCGCAGTCTCAACCTGCTGGGCCCAAGTGATCCCTCTGCCTCAGTCTTCCAAGTAGCTGGAACTACAGGCTCGCACCACCACACCCAACTAATTTTTTGATTTATTGTAGAGATAAGGTCTTGCCAAGTTGCCCAGGCTGGTCTTGAACCGTAGGCTCAGGCAATTCTTTCACTTTGGCTTCCCAAAGTGCTGGAATTATAGGTGTGAGCCACCGCGCCCAGCTCCTTGCCCATTTTTAGATTGGGTTGTGTTTTGTTATTGAATTACTTTTTTTTTTAAAGTTGAAGTCTCACTCCATCACCCATGCTGGAGTGCAGTGGCACACTCTTGGTCACCCCAGTATCAAGTTGCTGGGCTCTGGTGATCCTTCTGCCTCAGCCTTCCAAGTAGCCAGAACTACAGGCACACGCTACCACACCCGGCTAATTTTTTAATTTATTGTAGAGATGAGGTATCGCCAAGTTGTCCAGGCTGGTCTCAAACCTACGGGCTCAGGCAATCCACTCACCTTAGCCTCCCAAAGTGCTGGGATTATAGGCTGAGCCACCAAACCTGGCCTAAATTACATATTTTTTTTTTTTGAGTTGGACTCTCACTCTATTGTCCAGACTGGAGTGCAGTGACCGCTCCCAGCCACCGCAGCCACAACCTGCTGGGCTCCGGCGATCCTTCCACCTCAGCCTTCCAAGTAGCTGGAACTACAGGTACACGCTACCACGCCCGGCTAATTTTTGATTTATTGTAGAGATGAGGTCTCACCAAGTTGCCCAGGTGGGTCTCGAACTCACGGGCTCAGGCAATCCACTCACTTCAGCCTCCCAAGGCGCGGGATTACAGGCTGAGGCACCAAGCCCGGCCTGACTTACTTTTAAATGATGGTAATGACCCACGTAAAACCAGTTTGGGCTCAATGAATTTTAAAAGAGGTAGGGTTTAATAAAAGTAGAAGTGTATTTTTTTTTTTTTTTGAGTTGGAGTCCCACTCTGTTGCTCAGGCTGGAGCATAGTGGCACACTCATGGCCACCACAGCCTCTGCTGGGCTCAGGCGATCCTTCCACCTCAGCCTTCCAAGTAGCTGGAACTAAAGACATGTACCATCACACTCAGCTAATTTTCTGATTTATTGTAGAGATGAGGTCTCGCCAAGTTGCCCAGGCTGGTCTCGAACCCGTGGACTCAGATAATCCTCTCACTTCAGTCTCCCAAAGTACTAGGATTATAGGCTTGAGCCACTGCACCCAGCCGTATTTTTTTTTAAATAGAAAAACCAACCAGAAGTAAATAGAACAAAATGACAGCCATAGTAAGAATACTGGTATCATTCTTCTTTGCTTCTCACACTTTTTTCTATGAAGTGCTTAGAGTACTTTCTAAAAGACAAAAGTAAAATACACTAGAACTCTAGGCCACTAGTTTCCAATATATTATTTTTTAAACTTCCCCACGGTCACAGTCGGAAGAGGGAGGAGAAGTGTGGGTCCCCACTTGGATTCACATGCAGCAGCTCGACTTCTCCCCATTTTTGCGTGTTGGGGTTCAATCCAAGATTTTACATGTGCTTCAGTTATTTTTTTTCAGCTAATAAGTAACTGAAACCTGAACTTGATTAAATGAACTTCAGAGCCTGCCCTGATAGTTACAGTAAACTTCAAATAGAGAAATGCCTCATTCAGACTGGTGTGTACAGGGTAGAATCTGGCACCAACCAATCCTCGGTTTACCTTCCAGCCCCAGTTGTATGCCCTGGGCCTATGATTTAAATCCCAGTGCTTACAGTTTCTCAGTTAAAATGTGAGAAAATAATTTCTACATTATAAGGCCATTGTACAGTTAAGAAAAAATATAAGAAGAGCACTTAGCAGACAATGCATCTACACTTATGATTATTATCAACAATTAGAGGCTAAAGCCTTCACAAACATTAGTTACTTACGTTCTTTTTCAAACAGTTCTCTAACACCAGGCAAATCTTTTGCTGCGCCAAAGTACTTGTAACCTCGGTTTCCCGGGACTTCTTTTCCTTCATGATCCAGCATTTTAGGGCCAACTTTCTTAATGGGAAGAAAAAAGAAAGAATGGACCTGATCCTTAAATACACTATTTCCATGTTTGCAAATATATTTTAAGATAATAGCTCTAAATGTGGAAAATATTTATGTGCCTAGAAAAATATTTATATTTTAAATCCTTAAAAGTCAACCTAAATATCTAAAAATAGGAAGATGATTTAAATAAATTATAGTATATTCACTGATGGAATATATTCTATAATTTTAAAATGACGGTCCTTATGAAATTCTTATATTAACTTAGAAAAACACTTGTGATACAATGTTAAGTGACAAAAGTTGAAAACGAATTCCAAACAACCTAAATGATAATCAGCAGATGACACTGAAATAAGTCTAGAAGCTGGCACTCTATTTAAAATCATTTTGACAACTAGTATGAATATAGTTTGTGACTCTGTAGTTTGACACCTAGTATATGACTCTGGACCAGGCCTTGGACTACAGGAGAAATACTACCAAGGATATTACTGAAAAAATTGATGTCCATTAAATAAAATTATGGTAGCCAAGTTAAATTTCTTAAACTTGGTAACCACCATGTTTATAAAAGAGAATATTCTCCTTCTTACGAAATACACAGTATTAACAGTAAGCTAGGTGCACTGGCTCACACCTGTAATCCCAACACTTTAGGAGGTGGAGGCAAGAGGACTGCCTGAGCCCATGGATTCAAGACCAGCCTGAGTAACATTGCAAGATCTCATCTCTACAATTAAAAAAACAAAAATTAGCCGGGCATGGTGGCATATACCTGTGGTTCCAGTTACTTGGAAGGCTAAGGCGGAAGGATCACCTGAGCTCAGCAGATCAAGGTTACGATGGCCATGAGCATACCACTGCACTCCAATCCTGGGTGACAGAGTGAGACTCCGACTCAAAAAAAAAGAGAGCAAAGGAGCAAGATGCATGTAATCTGCCTTTCAAATGGTTCAGAAAAATATCAGTCTCAAGGTACACACAAAAAATAAAGCAATGATGGCAAAATGTTAAAAACTGGCAAATCTGTATAAAGGATATGTAGGAATTCTCTGTATTTCTGCAACTTTCTGTGCATTCAAAACTGTTTTTTAAAAATGATATAATTTGATATATATGATATATTCTGATACATAAAATATATCAAGATATATGATTCATGGACACGAAACTATGCTCCTGATATTCTGTTGAGAACAAAGCATGTAGTTAGAATATGAATCATTTTCTATAAAAGTAAACATGTATATGCCTAAAGAAAATATTTAAAGAATAAAAATTAAAAGAAAAATAAATAGATGTTAACAGCAGTTACTTCTGGGTAGTCGGAGAATATATAATATATATATCCACAAAGTATATTATACTACGAGAGAGGACCTAAAAAAGTCACAATTATCTTTTGGAGGGGGAGTCCCTTGTACACTCAGAACTTATTATTTATTATTTACTATAGTTATAAATAATAAATTTATTATTTATTTATCAAACAGTCAACTAAAGTTTTTATCTGGAAATTTTGAGAAGGTTGGTCATGATTTGTGGAAGAAACGTCCCGAGTTGTGGCAAACAGGTGACTGGTTCTTCCACCAGGATAACACACCTGGCCACACCACACTGAATGATCACCAGTTTGTGACCAGAAATGGCACGGGCCTGTATCTCACTGCCACTCTTCACCCAACCTCGCCCTGAGCAACTTTTTTTTGTTTTCCTGGATGAAAAAATTCCTCAAAGGGAAAAGTTTTGCTGATGTGGAACAGGTGAAATGAAAAATGGCAGAAGCACTAAAAGGCATCAAAATGGACAAGTTCAAAAACTGTTTTGAGCAGTGGAAAAAGCATTTTGATAGGTGTATTGCATCAAACGGAGAGTACTTTGAAAGTGACTGAAGTTTAAACTTGTTAAGAATAAATATGCAATTTTTTTTTTTGAGGAGTGTCACTCTGTCACCTAGGCTGGAGGGCAGTGGCACACTCCTGGCCACTGCAGTCTCAACCTGCTGGGCTCAGACGATCCTTCCACCTCAGCCTTCCAAGTAGCTGGAACTACAGGCATGCGCCACCATGCCTGGCTAATTTTTTTACTTATTGTAGAGACGAGGTCTTGCCAAGTTACCCAGGCTGGTCTCGAACCTGTGGGCTCAGGCAATTCTCTTGCCTCAGCCTGCCAAAGTGTTGGGATTATAGGCATGAGCCACCACATGGCAATATGCAATTTTTAATAAAAAAATTCTGGGATATTCAGGTCTCCTTTGTGCGTGTTTGTATGTGTGTGTGTATCTATATATGGCAACCCCCTCAGTTCCCTCCTGCTGTGGGAGCTTTTCTGTCCTCAGAATAAATCCTGCTTTCTCATCTTCAAAAAAAAGAAACACAAAACCTAGAATCAAAGCTATACATACAGTGAGTTTGGTCTCAATTAGGGCATTTCATATAAAACAACGGAAAAAATATTCAAGTAGCTACACCTAGGTAATGGTATTATGACTGAATGCTGCTCTCTTTGTACTTTTCTTTTTTTTTTCTTGAGTTGAAGTCTCACTCTGTCACCCAGACTGGAGTGCACTGGCCACTCCCAGCCACCGCAGCCTCGACCTGCTGTGCTCCAGCGATCCTTCCGCCTCAGCTTTCCAAGTAGCTGGAACTACAGGCGCGCGCTACCACACCCGGCTAATTTTTTGATTTTATTGTAGAGATGAGGTCTCGCCAAGTTGCCCAGGCGGGTCTCGAACCTGCGGGCTCAGGCAATCCATTCATCTCAGCCTCCCAAAGGTGTGGGATTACAGGCTGAGTCACTGAGCCCAGCCATACTTTTCTTAACTTAATGATAATGTATAAAATAAATTAAGCATAAAAAACTAAAAATATATATATATAAACATTAGTATTATTCAATTTGGGTGGTAGAGCCTAAGAATACTTAACATATTACTTTTTAATACACCTGAGGTCACTTTTCTGGGTGGGTTAATAAGCTTTTGCATTATTTTAAAGCAGTCTGACAAGAAAAATAAGATCACAGAATTGCTGAAGAGGTTAAGAGAGGCACCCAAGAGAAAGTTCCTAGCATAGAGCCTGGAAGAGAAGTGCTATAGAATCACAATTGTCTTTCCTTCTACAACAGAAAGGACAAATGCTCCACTTTTATGCCAAGTACTAAAGTAAAAATGATGGTTTTGTATCAGACTTTCATAAAAGTAAAAAAAAACAAAAAAAACCAACACATGGAAAAACCTCATGTATTCCTTTCATATAACAGTTCCCTGATTAGATATACTACTGCTTCCAATGATCCAAGGTCCATCTCATCACAAATGGGTAAATAGGTCAGGCTCTGGGATAATAGTTTTCAAAGTCAAGACCCAATAGTGTGTCATGAAATCAATTAATTTGATTTTTTTAAAAATCAGGCCAGGCACAGTGGCTCAGCCTGTAACACTAGCACTTTGGGAGGCCGAATTGAGAGGACTGCCTGAGCCCGGGGACTCGAGACCAGCCTGGGCAACTCAGTGAATCACAAAAACTAGCTGGGCATGGTGGCGTGCATCTGTAGTTCCAACTACTTGGAAGGCGAAGGTGGAAGGATCACCTAACGCCAGCAGGTCAAGGCTGCGGTGGTCATGAGCATGCCACTGCACTCTAGCCTGGGTGACAAGAGTAAGACTCCAAGCCCCCCCCAAATATCCAATTGGAACAGAATAGAGAATAGCAAAGTATATCACACTTACTATGCATTTTTCCAGCATATTTTTATGTGTAGTGGTCTATGATATAAAGCTCCTGTATGTGTGTGTTTCATAATGGGACATGGTCCTGAAAGTTTGAAAGCCATTGCTCTTGAGTGCTGCATTTATAAGAGGTGAAGAAAAGGACAGAATGAAGTGTCCCTGAGACTCCCTCAGGCAAAGAAGCCCACAAATGGCTGCCCCAATTCCCAAGGACCCAGAGAAAAATGTGAGGAAGCCATGGTCATTTTAAACTCAAGACACAGAGATAAAGTGGCTTCCTCAAGAGCTGATACATTTCAAGTGCTGTGGAATCTTCCAGCATCACCCTACCCATTTTTTTCACTGTCCATCTGCAACAGGAACTTTCCAGCTATTAAGGGCCTACTCTATGGCAGGGATGAGCTGGGAGCTGTAGTGGATGCAAAGCTAGACAACCAGCCACAAGGGCCGCAGGTACTCACTCCATAATCAGGACCGCCCAGCTCCTTTATCCGGACCTCCCAGTGTCCTTTCTCTCTTAGCAACTTGTTAATTTCGTCATTCAGGTCACGAATTCGGAATTCACCTAAACCAGCTAGAAAACAAAAATGTTATTATCTTCTCTTCAAAATGGCATACCCTTAAAAAGTAATGTCAACAGCTATAAAGGTACAGTACATAAAAATAATCATTTAAATTGGTAAGAAAAGCCATCAACACCCAAATAAAAGACAGGACAAGGATTAGGAAGAAAAAATCCTTGAAAAAACTTCATCCTCTTTAGCAACCAAAGAAATATAAACTGAAACAATCCTGTAATTCCATTTATACAACTATTAAAATAGCAAACTCCAGCCGGGCTCGGTGGCTCAGCCTGTAATCCCACGCCTTTGGGAGGCTGAGGTGAGTGAATTGCCTGAGCCCGCGGGTTCGAGACCCGCCTGGGCAGCAAGACCTCATCTCTACAATAAATCAAAAAATCAGCTGGGCGTGTAGCGCGCGCCTGTAATTCCGGCTACTTGGAAGGCTGAGGTAGAAGGATCGCCAGAGCCCAGTAGGTCGAGGCTGCGGTGGCTGGGAGCGGCCACTGCACTCCAGTCTGGGCGACAGAGTGAGACTCCAACTCAAAAAAAAAAAAAAAAATTACTCTGGGACTTGATAAACGAATTCCGTAAAGTTTCAGGGTACAAAATCAACACCCACAAATCATTAGTACTGCTACACACCAACAGTATCCTAGCTGAGAAACAAATCAAGAACTCAATTCCATTTATAATAGCAGCCAAAAACCTAAACTATCTGGACATATATTTAACCATGGAAGTGAAAGATCTCTACAAGGAGAACTACAAAGCACTGATAAAGGTAATGGTAGAGGGTACAAACAAATGGAATGACATCCCACACTTATGGATTGGAAGCATTAACATTGTCAAAATGGCCACATTTCTCAAAGCAATCTACAGATTCAAAGCAATCCCTGTCATACAGCCAATGCCATTTTTCACAGAATTAGAAAAAACAATTCTAAAATTTATATGGAACCCAAAAAGAGCCTGAAGAGCCAAAGCAATCCTAAGCAAAAAGAATAAAGCTGGAGGCATCACATTACCTGACTTCAAATTATACTGCAAGGCTGTAGTGAACCGAACAGTATG